TGGGTTATATGCTCATCTATATATTGTTCTGAAAGAATTTCACGTTGGTAGCTTCTATGATATGGATGATGATATTTGGCAGTATAGTTTGCCCGATCTGAAATATCACCTGTTCCTTTATAAGTATATGATACATATGTAGCATATATGACCAATGCCGATTTTATTTGATCCCTTTTGTGAAGCTCTTCTTTAAGAACATCTGTGATTGCCCCTCATGCTTCTGCAATAAGTTGGGGCATATAGGGAGCATCTGCATATTCTATTTCATTATCTTGCTCTTTATTGAATGCATAGGCAGGATTTTTGCATGATGGAATAACTCCCTCCCATACAGTCATACATTTTAGAGAGTTGTATTGTCTGGTAGGATCACGCTCTCTTTCCAAGAATATTATATCACCATCAGGTGGTTCTTCTTGTTTAATTTTTGTGAAATATGCTCCTGTAGAATAAGTCTTAACTTTTTCTTCATAAATTGATCGAAAATGCTTTCTACTAGCATATTTCTTTTCTGCTTGAAATCCTATAAATACTTCTTCATCACATATGTTTTGTAATTCTTCTTCAGGAACTTCGCTTAGCTCTTTAAGTAAATCATTAATTTCTTCATTATGTAATAATTGTGTTTCTGATTACCTTTCCTTATGAGTTTGAATTGATGGACTGGGTCTAGCTTTGGGATCAGAAGTTTGGTTAATCACTTTTGGCTTCTCCTGAGCATCTTGTCGCTTAATCATGCTAAGTCTCTCCTTTTGACCCTCCTTTTCTCAGGTATTGTCTATTGGAGTAGGTGATTTAGGCCTAGAAGGTGAAACATGTGTTGGTCTATGAATAGGATTTAATTTCTTACACTTAAACTTCCTTTTAAGATGATTTGTCCTATCATGAGTCTTTTTAAAGTCATTCTTTCTACATCAAAGACATAATGGAATCATTTTTGATATATGTATATGCTTTCAGTTGTTTGTATTAATAGTACAAAAACTTTTGTTTAAAATAAATTATTTAATATGAGCGTCTTGTCACTTAACCACATTAGGTCCCTAAGAAGGTGGGGTTTTCTGGCTTCAAATTTATGAGAAGGCGGGCCTGGCCTTTGTAGAAAACATGCTAGTGGTTATTATTGATCCAGTATATTAATAGACTTCAGGATAGAGCCATGGGTACTTATTAGAATGTAAATTAGTGTTTAAAATTTTACATCTAAGGTATCCTGATTTTGCGGAAACTTTTGTAATGAAAATGAGCTTGAAAGGTTTCCTGTATATTGAAAAATATTGGCATATTAGAACTTGATCTTGAGCTTTTAGACTTTCTTGTATACATTCAAAAATTTACATCTAAGCTGTCCGGATTTTGCAGAAATTTTAGTAAAGAAAATGAATTTGAAAGGTTTCCTATATATTGAAAATTGTTGGTATGTTAGAACTTGATCTAATGCTTTTAGACTTTCTTGTATACTTTCAAAAATTTACACCTATGCAGGGCATAGGTATAAATTCTTTGTATTACTAGCTGATAATGAATCAATTTTAGAATCAATTTTATGATATTATGAAATATGATATGCATTTTAGGCTTGCATGGTCAAGCCCAGCTCAAATCACGTCACTTTGTTTCTTGATTTTTGCTGAGCCCTCCAGAGGCAAGCAGAATAGCATAAAAGTTATTATTAAATTTGGGTTTGCAATGTCAGGCCTAGCTCAAATCGCATTACTTTGTTCCTTGATTTTTGCTGGACCCCCCAAAGGCAAATAGAATAGTAAAAATTTTTTGATATATTATTTGAGATTAAAATCAGGTTAGAATAGTTATATTAAACAGTATATTCCATGGTATCAGACAGGCTAATTCCTAGCCAAATTCGATATCATTATCTATATTTGAGTCAAATTACGCTAGAGCTTTGTATTTGATAATGGATTTGTGTAGCTAGAATTGATTCGTAAGTGGTCAGAAAACCTTTCTGGATATCTTTTGGATCTTTTGGATTTTTGTTTCAGAAACCCCATTTTTGCCTTACTACTTCTATAATAAGCTTAATAACAGAATTATTACAAAAATACATGAATTCACAGTAATACAAATTAGTAAAAAGATTACAACTGTATTATCAAAATTAGAATTTAAAGAATTTATATCTTAAAAAGTTGTTAAGAGAATATTATCAAGATATTTGGTTAGTACTAACAAATAAAAATTCAAAAAATGTGAAACAATGGAAAAGTTTGTGTTATTTATTAGAAAAGTGATAATTATACATTATATCACTTATAATAGTAAAGTTATTAAGAAACTTAGTTATATTATAATCAATTGTAAAATGCTAAATAGATTTAGTAAAGATATAGTTTTAAAGTTTTATTAATGAATTGAAAAATGTTAGAATAATTAATTATAATAAGAAACATTTAAATTTTTTATACTATACAAATATTTTTAAATTAAATTATATTACTTAATTTTTTGAAAATTTCAAATTATCTTTTATTTATTTTATTTTATTTATTAATTTAAGGAGTTTTTTTCACTATTTTATGAATTTACTAAGATAATTTGATGATTTTATGAAATTTACTATAATAAACAAATAATAATATAATTTTATTATGTCAAACCAATTTTATTATTTTAATTTTTATAATTATATGAATAAATAAGAAATTTTATCTTTAATTAATATTTATTAAATTTTAAATATTTATTATTTTGATTTATTAAATTTACATTTTTTATGTTTGATTTAATTTTATTAAAATGAAATAAAAAATTAAAAAATTAATTTTATCACTTTTATATAGCTGATATAAAGTGACTTTATATATTCAATTTTTAAGATTTATAATTAGAAAAAAATAAATAAAAGATAAAAATTGAAATAAAAAATAAATTAAAGCTTTTTATCATATATACATAGCTTATATAATATATTTAAGTAGTAACTAGCTAGTTAAAATAAGAAAATTGCAACTAGCACTTAGTCATATATTGATTGTTAAACAATTATAGGCAATTTTCTATAAGATCTTTATATATTATCATAAGTATTTTAATATTTCATTTGATACTTTAAACTAAAGATGCTTTTCTAAACTATTTTTAGAAAATTTAAATTTTAAGATTTTTAAGATTAAACTATTTGTTTATAATAAATATCTTTATTTAAACTTCTAATAGGTTTTTCTAAACTCAATTAAATTTAATTAAATTTTGGATTTAAAAAAAATTATTTTAAAGATTTTGAAAAAATTTCTAAATTTTTAAATTACATTTTAAAATAGGTTTTTAATAACATTATTACTTTAAATAATCCTTTTAACTTTGTTAATTACAAGAAGATTTATAGTCTTGTTTAATAAGTAATATTATATATTTGTGAATTAATGCTAGAAATAGGCAAGTAAATATCATACTATTTATTAGAAATCGTTATTTGATGATGTTTCAGAACCAGTCAATAATAGCATAAAACCTTTTATAATCAAATCATTCCAAAGGTATTATGACCTTATAATCTAAATTTTATATTAATTTTTTATATAAAAAATACATATTATTTATTTATTATATTTAGAAATTGTATAAATAGTTTTAAATGATATTTTTACTTAATTTTATTATTGCTTTATTAAAATATATACATTTATAAAATATATATAAATAGCTTTATTAAATTTTGATAAATATATCATCTATATCTAAGTAAGTTAGTGATTTTAAATAATAAATATAATATCCATTTGACTAAATCATCATCAGTAGGATAAATAATCTGATCATCTTATTCAAAATCTGTTTTCTATTCTAAAGAAAGCAAGGTTGCATCATTAGCATTATCTGATTTTCATATTCTACATTATTATCTATTTAATTATAACTGAATCCCAACATTCATCTTCTTTTTTTAGGTTATTTTAATTTAACTTATTATTTATTTTTATTTTTTTATATTATAATCTATATATTATAATTTTTTTTATTTTTTTTTATTATTTATTTTGTTTAATAAAGCATAATTATTTTCTTTTATTTTTAGGTTATTTTTTTTTGAATTTATGATAAATTGTTTAGGATTTTTTCTTTTAATTATTTTTTTTTTAACTACTTATCTATATTTATCGATATTCATTTTATTTATTTTATTTATTAAAAATATATATTAAAATATACACTTGATAGAATCTTTAAAATAAAAATACAATACTTTTTTTTTTTATTTTTTTTAAAAATCTGTAAATTTTTATGCATAATAACTAACAAAAGACAAACCCATCTTTATCAGAATTTAATTACAGTATTTGTGGCAAATTTGCTTGCTAAAATTATAATTTTTATAAATTTATATGCCAGCCATCCGTATAATATAAATAAATTACAGTTAATTTCTCATATCGATATGCTTATTTATATATTATAATAGTTATAATAGTTTGTAATGTAATGTTAATTATAAATCAAATCAATAACAGTAGGTTTATAATTATCTTATTTATAAATTCGAATATGTAAATTAAGGCAATATTACAATTTTGTTAACATTTAAGTCATCAAAGCAAGCTTACAAAGAAATATTATGTGCAATCCCTCTTAATATTCAATAAGATTCAGATTCTCCAGATAATTAAAAGCTGATAAAATGGATTATCTAATATTTTCGCTGAATATCAAGGGTACTCCACGAATAATACTTTATATTTGAATTCGATAGATTCAGTGTTAGGAGGCGCAGTTTATTTTCGGTGAATTGTTGTCAGTCAGGAATTCGCTGTAGCTAAAAGTCACATATACCCTAATTAGTAGAGAAAGAAAAAAAAGAAAGGTGTAAGGTTGGAATAAATTAAACAAGAGTTGTTTCGAAATGTTGTGTTGAAATTTAATTAATCATATCCTCTTTAAAATAATATCGACAAAAAGACGTTTATAACAGGCAGCAGCGAATCCAAATATTTAAAATCCCGTGATATGTAACTACTATGTTTACGAACTTTATTAAATTATTACAATGCAAAATTAGGTTGACTTTTACTATCATAAACTTCCTTATTTGGATGATGCTGATGTAAACACTTCATAATAAAGAATTATGCTTGCTACATCACGGATAAAATCGATTTTATTTAACGAAAGTTGTAATCATATGGCGTTACTAATTTAAAGCATTCAATTTTGTAATTTCCCAATTTCCATTGATCCAAAAGTCTCAAACGGATAGCAATGGATCTTATTGAAGTACCCAAACAGTATTGTAACCTAGTCCAAATTTTTTGGTTGTATTTGATGTAAATGAAAATCAAAACAGATAAATAAATACCGGCATCTATATATGGAATCTAAGGAAGATAATATATTTATTTATTAAATATATAACATCTCTTCTTTTTAAAAAAAAATATTAAATAAATCAAAAGTAAAAAAAAAAAAAAAAAAAAAAAAAAAATTTAAAAATTCAAACTGTACAAATTTTTTATACAAGTCTATTTTATACAACTAAGATCCTTTTTCGTTTAAATATTAAGGCGTCATATTTTTAAATTAAATCCGTAAAGGTAACATCAAACTTCTTTGATTCGCTTATATGAAATTTGTCGTGATGGAAAATACCTCAAATTCTTCAGCTTGATAATTATCAATATCTAAAATTCTATGTTCATAAGATTGCATATTTTTTTGACAAGAGACGATACGATCATTCACATTCAAATCACCACCACCAAAATTCAATCCACCGCTTTGATGTTCGAAAATAGCTGCTACAGGTATACTGACTCTACTTAATTTAATTTTAGGAAAATTTTCACCATCACCCAAAGTGAATATAAAAGAATCACCGGTTTTCTTCCAGGTATTAATATTATATTGCCAACCGAAAGGATTATATCCACCAATTATTTTACCAGAGGATTTTAATTTTATTATAGCAACGGAAGGACCACGATTATTACATTTGTGACGAAATTCCTTATTATAGAATCCATCACGACTTCCTCTATAAAGCAATTTAAAATTCAAATGAGATTCTTTGATCGTTACAAATGATTTTGTGTCTTTACGATAAATCCAATTTGATAGAATTGCCGCATGTATAGGTTTAATTATATTTGATTCTATAGGGATATGACCTAACCTAGGGAATAGAGTGCACGCCTTCGGTTCTACACCATTCATATTATTCATATGATATGCCATAATATCTTCAAATATCTCATGTGGAATTATAGATTTATAAGGACGTACTTTATCGAAAAAATCTCTCCAAGATATCTCTAGAAATCTAATTAATGGAATGAATTGACAAAGAGCTCTCCTTAAAAATTTGAAGTTCTTTTCATTCCACTTTGTCGTATAATTATTTGTATCTAAAGGTACTTCGTTGGAAACGTTCTTTTCACGTAAAGGGTATGGCGTTGTATGTGAGGTCATCACTGAAGAGGTTGAATTGCTTTTCCGATGATGAACATGACGGTGTCGTTTCTGTTGCACTTGTTGATTTTCCGCTTCACTCTGTTCGCTCTGACTTTGATAATCATCATACTCCGATTCCAATAACATGGTTTGGTAAATTCCCCATTTGATTAAGTAATCCCAGACCAACACTTCTTCAACTTGTAAATCATCCCTACATAATAATTGATATAAGATGTCATTATCCAAAGTAGAAAAATTTTTCAATTCGAAAAATGGTATAGGATTTTCGCAAATTGTTTCTAAACAATATTCTTGCAACTTTTTACAAGACACAAGTTGAAATACAGTATGTAATACTTCTATCATATGTCGCTGTACCCAACTTGATTTTTTTTGTATTAAATATGTTTGCGCATATGTAATTAATTCTTCCAACAACAATTCATCCGCTGCTACCAATAAATCTAATATATCCTCTCCTATGACCCTTTCTAAATCCAATACGCCTGCATAAACATATCTTTATGAGACGAATAAAAAAGAGTCAAAAAAATTTTTTTTTTTTCGAATTACGGCAGAGTAAAATTATCGTTATGAATTAATTACCTTAAGATTATTTCGAAAACTGCAGGGGATATGTTTGGCTTCGTAAAAATAATAATATCATTTTCTTTTTTAACCCAATCACTTGATAATGCAATTTTAAAATAAGGCGACCGAGTTCTTAATATATTTGAATGAGCTCGAAATTCTTTTATATTAGGTTTCTCTCCAACTTGAATTCTGACATTATAATCATCGGCTTCTTCAAGTAAAGCCAATAAATTTTTGCTTAAACAGGGAAAAAAATCTGAAGGCATATCTTTATAACCACCGAAAAAAAAGTTTGTTATTTGTTTATGTTTAAAAAGTTTAAAAAAATCTATTTACCAAATATAAATATGATATATGTGGCTGAGTGGGTTTACATTGTCCCTCTATTTAGTATCGAGTTTTATATTGATTTATTCTGTACATTGGCGTATCAATTGTTTTGTCACACAAATGTTTTGCTTTGCAGTTCTTTCTTTAACTACTAGTTTCATTCAGTTGATAATGATTAAAATATACCTATTGTTCGAAATACCTTTTTGAGAAAATTCCAAGTAGGGAACCGAATTTCTTTTTTTGGATTTCTTCATTTAGAGTTCAGTAATTTAGAAATTCAATTTCAACCTCGGAACTGCGGACCGTTTCAACTAATATTGTTATATAATCGGTTAAAGTTGGATGTAGAAGGTGCCAATCATCATTATTATCAAATACATATTGCATTAATTAAAAACGTCAATTTAAACTGCTTATGTCTACTTATGCTAATGTATTCAGATTATCATTAATCGAACATAAAATCTCTTTATAGAAGTTTGTTTATTATTATGTAACAATATATGGTTAAGGTAACAATTTTATTATGTCATTCACAAACTTTTTTTTATGAAGTTGATTTACACAACAAAAAAATTATTAACCAATCAAAATCTACGGTTTCTTAAATTTATTTTTTTTCTTTCCTAATTTTGGAAAATTGAATTAAGATTTTGACTTTTTAGCAGTTTAATTTAAAATTATGATAGAAGTTATTTTTTTATGACTTTATAATAAAATAACATTCAATAATTTATGACCGGAAATTTGTGTTTTTCATTTCTCAGAATATAACACTAATTCCAAGTATCATCATAACGTTGACTCATACAACTAAGTAACATCGATAAAACGTTACATATAACATTTCACAAATTCAACTCAAGAATCTGGATCCATTGAATTTTTTTATTTAAAAATTTTTCTCAAATCGGATTATTTTTTATTTCGTAGAATTTATTTTTAGATTAATTTGCAACAAAAAATTACAAAATAAAAAAATATTTAAGGTGAATTATCAATTTATTTATTATTTCGGTTGACAAATGATTTGTGTTTTAAGAAAATCAAGTTCTGAGACATAATTGAAATGTTTAAATTTTTTGTTTGTAATTAATTAAATTTTATTATTTATGTTTAAAATGGTTTAGTCTTTTGTTTTATAGTACAGATCTTTTAAAAAAAATGTTTATTTATAATAAAAAATTAAAAAAAGTACTTAATTTTATTTTAAATGATTTTATAAATACACTTAATTCAATAACTTTAGTATATATAGCCTTAATAAACAAAATAAATAATAATATATATAAAATAAAATTAGTTAAAAGAAAAAAGAAAAAATCCTAATATTAAATAATATATTACAAATTCATAAAAAATAAAAGAAAAATAATTGACTTAATAAATAAAATATAAATGAAAAATAATTGATTTTAAGGATGGGTCCGCAAATAGGCAATTGCGGAATAATTGCGATTTACGATATTGCGGACAATTGCGGAAATTAAGG